GAATCAATGGTCTGGTCAAAATGGCATACTGCCCTGACATTAGTTCTGCTAAAAGTGTTGTTCCTACCCTGATGTTTGGCGGGTAACGATTGGAGAGGACATACCTGAAACGCGGAGCCTCTCAGAGTCACGCTACGGCCTGACGCTATGCCATACCGTAGTCCACCGCGGAAATGCGCACTTCAACAAGCCGAATTTATCCGAAAATAGGTACAGTCGCTTGTTGAAAGTGGCTTGGTAGAGCAGAACAACTCGTTGCGATGGGCAAGTGTCGTTGTCCCCGTACGCAAGCCCGGAACACAAGAACAGTTCAGGCTGACAATCCTGATTGCAGGTACTATGCCTACCGTCGATACGACGGTGGATGCTTTAACTGGCAAGGAGGTATTCGGGCAATCTGATTTTACTCAAGGTTTCTGCCAGCCGCCGTTGCATCAAGATATAACTGAGAAAGGTTCTCACTCGTGACATCTGATAGCGTATTTATGCCAACTCATGTCCCCGCAGGGCGCTACGGACTCTGCACTACACTTCCAAAGCCAAGTTCAGACAACACTTGCACCGTTGATTCCATATTCAACACAATGGGTCGACGTCGTAATCCTGTTCACGCCAACGTTGGCGGAATTTTTAAAGACACCAAGGCACTTCTTCAAGATCGTAACCAGGGTAAACTTCAAGCTGAACATGGACAAGAGCTCATTATACGTGTTGGCGATATTGTGACGCTGTCGTATTATTTCTGACGCTGGTATTCGCCGTGACCCCTCACGTGTCAGTGCTCTTGCATCGCTGTCTCTACCAGCAACAATAGCCGGTCTTCCAGTGCTTTGTGTGTGATACAAACTGACTACATGGTCCCTTCCTGACCATGCGCGCGTGATCGCTCCACTGCAAGCTAAACTAACTTCGGAGCGCCAACGCATCGACCGGCACAATCGTAATGCACTAAATGTGTTTACTACTTGGTCTGTTGACGAAGAAGCTGCGTACAAAGTTGTGGTGGCGTTGTTTCAGAGCTCAATGCTGATGATAACTCCAGATCCTAAAGCAGAGCTGTGCTGCTGTTTACAGCTGCGTCGGCAAATGACTATAGCATTATTGTCGCGCAGGTCGAGCATTGGAACGCTTCGCTAACAATGGAATAGCAGAAACACGAAATGGTTGTGTACAAGGGCGGGCGGTTTAAGCATTCGGAGCTAAACTGAACGGTGGTCGAGAAAAATGGCCTTCCCGATTTTTAAAGCCAGTCACGATTTGGAGTATCTCCTTCTTCGTCGCAATGGTTTTCTGCTGCACTGTGACCATGGACCTCTATTGACTCCAACTCAGGGGAACGAAATTGTTCATTGGACTTTCTGTTCCTTGGAGAAGGATTTGGAGACTCATCATAGCTTATCGTTGTCCAAGGTGGTTTTCTCTTTTTTTGCAAGGTGTTCGTGTGCCACACCGACGGCGTACGTGGCTACAGAAGCATTTTGGTGTTGTAGTTGTCACGTATGGAGCTCCGAAGTTTTTGCTTTCTGACCAGGGAACTCATTTCCGGATCGAAATGCTAAAGCATCTGACGGCTCGACTAAAACTTCAGCAGCATTTTACTCCCTGGCTGAATGGAATCGTGGAGAGACTTAATAAGGATGTCCTCCAGGTGTTTCGGGCATTTTTGATGAAATATGTTATAGATGAGTTTGAATGGCCGTACCTACTGTCTGCTATACAAGCGAGCCTAAATCAACCCCCTGTGCAACCACTAGCTCGTCACACCCATGTCGAAGTGTTGACTGGACTGCCAGTTTCGTCAGCTTTTTATACAATTGTAGTTGGTGAAAGTGGCGATGAACGGGTTATAGAGATCAGCGACATGGACGAGAAACTAATCCTGAATGTGTGTTACTCCACGCTGGTTACGAGGCCGATCAAGGCTCTAATTATTAATCGTGTAAACCACCCGCTGCACGGATTACATCTACAAGTCGCAGACGCAAAAGAGCACAAGAGGCTCTAGGAAATGAGAACGCACAAAGGAACTCCTGCAAATTTCGACGTTGGCGATTTCATTTAGTGTTCAAGAACTAACCAGAGGCTGTCACACCGCAAGTTTCTGGGCCAGTCGGCTGGCCCTTTCAAGATCACTTCGTTCAATATTCAACATCTGGTAACTGGACGAGAAAATGGAGTCCATGCGTCTCGTCAAAAAGTTTTCGCCGACTCAGCTAGACACACTTCGGAACTGCTGAAATAAGTTTCAAGCCAAGGGATGGTGCTTAGCGTTG